ATGAAATATAGGATATTGAATCAATTTCACAATGAGATTCTACAAAAGAATGATAATTACCATTTTTATAATAAAGATACACTACTTGAATAATACATGTCATGTTTTTTTATGACAGAAATACCAAAACCACTAATAGTTATTGGAAATAGAGGATAACAATAAATAATAAATGCTTAATTTTAATTTATCTAATATTTTGAATTTCATGTCCAGCTAGATTTTTTGAAAAGCATTATATGCACAAGTACTTAAAGATGATAAAATGGTAATAAAATCTGAATATTTTTTGGAATAATACAAATTTTGCATGTTTTACATAGACCTTCAAATGTAGACTGTTTTTTAAATGATATTTTTTCACCCAGTTCAGCAAGCTTTAACCAAAAAGATTCTTCAGCTTCTAGATTAATATTATTGATTTGTTGTATAAGCTGCATAACATCACTATTAGTTATGTATCTTGATATTGGACTGCTATGCAAGCTAATTTTAGAAATAAACTTATAATTTTTTGTATATATATGTTTTTTATTTAGTGAATTAATAATGAAAGTATCCCTTAGTATATAATTAAATAATAAATATAATACCTTAAAAACTTTATCATTTTTGAGATCTTGACATTCAATACAAATTTTGGAAATGCATGCAGTGTCCTTTTTACATTTTGTACTTTGAATTGACAGACCTTGAATTCACCATTTTGATTGATTAACAAGTTCTTGCTCAAGACATTCTAGTTGATCAGATTTTAATTTTGAATATTTTATTTTTAAACCTATAGGAAAAACCAAAGGAAATAGTTGGCATGCTATTTCATGACACAGAGGTGCACCACCATGAGTTGCAGTAAGTTGTGTATGTTCAATATATGCTTTATACTTATCACCACAAAGACCAATGCATGAAAAAAATTATACTGATGACTGATTTTGTGTATTAATTTGAAAAAATTTAGTAATTTCTTGGGTGTTTTTCTTTCTTACATTTTCAAATAAATGATACTCAGACATTTGAAGCTTATCTATGGTTGCTTGCCAAAACTCCTCTGGAAATCAATCAGCAGAGTTTCGGCAAGTAACACACTAATTGTTTGTTAGAGTTTTGGCAGAGTTTTGCATTTAGGGATTTTGACAGTTAGCAGAGTTTCAGCAGGTTACATGCTAATTGTTTATTAGAATTTTGGCAGAGTTTCAGGAGTCATTAAGAGGTTTTGGCAAGCAACCTTAAGCTTATCTAAGAATGAAATTTACCAGGGAGAAAGAAAAATAATAAATGTTAGAAAAAGAAAGCAAGATGAAAGTATGCTATTACCCAACAAAAGATGGAAACCTCTAGACAATGAAAAATAATGGGAATGAACTTATTATCTATTTTATCTTTTCCTTTTTGACATCTTCTCAATAAGTAACCAGATTTCTAAAACCAATACTAATGTTCCACTCTGACCATAATTTATTCATGATTGAGCACTGACTTTTTTTTTTGTAAAACTTCTTTAAAACATGGTTTAAAATAAAAAATCATAAGTAAAAAAGAAGTTTAACTGTTAATTGATGAGATGAAGAAAATAGAGAAATCATTAAATTTTGTTGCTGAGAATGTGCACAAAATCTAGTCCAACAAAAATTACACAACAATACTGCTGATTGAGAAAGAAAAAAAAAATTCTTTAGAGAAACCTTAAAAAAGGTTAAAAATAAAGAATATTTTGATTGACCTTTTAGGACAAGAATTCTTAATCAAAAGGTAGTGGAATATGAGACAGGATTATTATATGGTGCCCTCAATGTAAAATCATGCTGATTGAGATGTCATGGATCATGAAGATAGTCAAGGACATAAATGCTCACAATGCTGTAATTGCCAAAAAGAAATTAAAGAGGTAAACAAAACCAACATTTTACTTGAAAAGAAGATAATACCCCAAATTATATTTGTCCAAAAAGAGTGAAATCACACATGTGATAATGCGGAAATGCACAAAAAAGGCATGTATGAGTGTTGACTTACTGATTTTGGGGGTGTTTTTTCTGGTCTAGTGTTAAGAGAACAAACAAAATGTCATTCAGCAATCTGCTCCAAGCATCATGCAAATAATTAACTAAGCAAGAATGATCAAACATTCTGCCAGTGTTGAAAGGCACAATTAACAAAATAGATAGGCATTATAACCAATGAGATATTGGTTTAGTTTTGAAGTAGGAAAATTGGGAGGCCAAAATTCACCTCACTTCTACATGAGAATAATTCCTAAATACAGAGAAAACTATGGAGTTACTGGATCCAAAGGAGCTTATGAAAAGGCCACCCCTGAACAAATAGAACTAACAAAAAGCTTTGCAGCCCACTGCTGATAATATTATCAACAAAAAGAGTAAAGTGATTGCTAAACTATGTAATGAAGTAAATTATGGATATGCAACTATCTACCAAAAATCATACTTTACTAATGTTAAAGTAACAGTTTTTATCTACACACTTTTGTTATTGTGCATTAATTTCCTTTTTTTTAATCATCATTCATTTCATTCTACCTTTATCTTTGTGTTTACTGGATGAATGGCTCCCTTGTTTTGATGAGTCATTTGTGATTATTTTAACATAAATTACAGGATAAATTCATTGTATGTGCATATGCTTCTTTGGTGAAATATGCAATTCAGCAGATCTGGTCATGCAGCCAGTAACTTTTGTAAGAGTCCTAATAATTTTTGTGACTCACTTCCATTGTCAGGTGCTGGCTGAAGGCATGTCTACAATTTTTGACTCAGCCCAAGAGCAACCAATGGAATTTGTAGGCAACAATGCATTACCCATATCATTGGATCATTTGACTTTCCTTTAGGAGGACTCCCATTGCAAATTCGGTTTTGCACTTGATTCTGTGTTTTAGTGAGAACTTTCATAGGTTCCTGTGACAATTGCAAACCATTAATTGTTGATCCAAGTTGCATGTACAAAGAAATATATGGGTTTGGTAGTGCATCATCAATTCTGGCATAGTGTGTGGATAAGCACATTGTTGCGCTCCTGAAAAGTTGCCCGAAACTTTCCAATTCTTCACTTGAACTAGCAAATATGTGATCTGTTGACCTTTGGAGGATAAGAGTTGTCACCATCTTTTACTTTTGGTAATAGAATAAGTATAATGAAGTCTATCCTTTTTTGACTTGTTTTACAAATAACTGCAACACCCCCTTGCCAGGAATTCCAGCATATCATTGGAAGTTGGTGTGTATGTAATGGATATGAAAGATGTAAAAAATACTATTTCATGAACAAGCTGTCCAACACATTGAAGCTTGAAATTTTTTCATTCTCATCATGATATTTGCTCTTAAACCATTCATTCAGTCTTACACTGAACAAAACTTCAATGAAGTCATTGATAAGGACAGGATGAGAAAATTGATAGTGTTTAGGTCTTTTGCTTTTATCAACTCAGAATTTGGCTAAAATAGGAATTTCTATACTGGAGCAAGTTTTTCCACAATTTTTTATTCATTGGTCATGTCTAATAGTGACAATTGGGAGCTTTTCAATAGAAATGAACTAGCATGATGGAAATTCTATTTATCACATTTATCACATTGTGACGATCTTAAAATTATGTTGCATGACTATATAATCTTAAATAGATTTGTTATGTGTCAATAATAGTTGCAGGACATTTCTCACAGATCTATACAGTGTTGGCATATGACAAGGTCACATATCCTTAATCCCTACCCTATAAAAAATAACATACAGTAAAACAGTACATGAACCATATTGTTTTATGGAATAGGTACGGAAAAAATGTACAGAATCTTCCTGTTAAATGCGCTGAAATGTATGGAATTTGTGCAGGATAGATACAGAGTAGGTGTGAAGTAGGTGTGGAATGCGTATGAAACACACATGGAATACACACAGTTTTTACAGAAAACATACAGAATTCATTTTTCTCATATGTTTCCCATATGAATTACATGATGTGCTAATATGAAATTCGTGTGGAAAACATATGGGAAAAACAAATTCCGTGTGTATTCTGTGCATGTTTCATACGCATTCTGCACCTACTTCGCACCTACTTCGTATCTATCCTGTACAAATTCCATACATTTCAGTGCATTTAACAGGAAGATTCTGTACATTTTCCCATACCTATTCTGTAAAACAATACAGTTCATGTACTGTTTTACTGTACAAATTTCATACAGTTTTCCATACATTTTCTGTACCAAATTTTTTATAGGGTTCTTTTCTTAGATAAGTTTCTAGCATCTGAGTATCATTTATTTTGAAAATGTAGGAGCAATTTTTTCACCTTGCACTTTCTTCAAAATACTTCTGATAGTATATACTATAATTCTTGGGTTCCATGGTAGATCAGATGTAAATGAGTTTCAATTTTTGTATAGGGGTAATTCTATATGGGGCATACTGCAACAAAACAAGACAAAGTGAACATTGGTATTACCAATGATTTCAGGGATGGTGATGATTCTAGTTATGTAACTTTTTTTTGATTTACTTAGTGCTAACAAAGAAAATAAAGAAAATGATGAGAAGGTATTTATTCAATAAATTAATATTTAGTATTCAATCTTGCAGAGATTGATTATTCTCCACGTTCTTTTTAGGAGCGGAAAAAAAAGACAAAGATGCTGGAAAAAGAAATTATTAGATTAAAACGAGAATTAAAACAATTAAAAGAGAAAAATATCACATAATGCAAATTTTGGATTGAATAAATATACAAAAAACTATTTTTCACTCATTCTATTTCATTTTTATTTATTTATTTGGTATACTGTTTATAACTAACTGCCTAATTAATTTGTTCTTATTTGACAGATGAAGGGCCAACATCGAAGAGAACAAAACAAAACAGGAAACCCATACCTATAGAGATGCTGAATGAATTTGTAAACAAGTGGAAGAAATGCCTCCACCATCCACATTTTGCAAGAATGCTACATGGAATAATGCAAAATACAAAGATCCCTATACACACTTATCATACTCCTAAAACATACTTAATTTAAGTAGAATTTGAGTAGTGTTTAAATGTGAAATAAGTATGTTTCAAGTTTATTTCAAGTGTAATTTAAGTACATTTGGGAGGCACTTAAAACATCCTTGTTTTTTGCAAATTTAAGTAGAAAATAAAAACATAGGAATGTTTTAATGGTAAAATAAGTATATTCATACATATTTTGCAAATAATTAGTGAATTATCTTTTTTGATTTAAGTATGTCATTGCTTAATATTTGATAATGATAATAACATGATATATGGTCATGGCAGGAAAATTATGTTAAACTGATAGAATGTATTAAAAAATGTCTTGTCGAGAAGACGCCCTGCCGGAAACATCTTCAACCCGTTAAACTGGCACTAAAAACAAATTTTGAAGTTATTAAGAACATAGAAAACGTACTGCACATTTTGCTTGATAAAATTTAGAGTTGTTATATATTCACTTTATTATTGTTTTCTCGTGTGACTTGAAAAAAAAGCAAATTAATTTTAAATTAAAACAGCAATAAAAATAAATTATTAAAATTATTATCACAAGACAGAAAAAAATTTATATCAATATAATTATACTTTTTTATCTAAATAATACTATCTACTACCATTGACCATCATTAATTATTATTATCTGATATTAAATCCTCCCACATGATTTCGAGCATCTCCACATCATTCTGCTTTGTTATTAATTCACCCCCCTTAACATTTGGTGGTCTTTGGATAGTTTTAATATTAATATCAAATGGATATTTTATGCTTCCTTCCTCGCCTGCACTATCAAAATTTGCTAATAATATGGATGCATCATTTTTTCCATCTATCCTGACTAACAAGTTACCTCTTCTTAAATCACCATGTACAATTTTTGTTTTCATGTAAATAACTAACAATTTCATAAGTTTTACTTTTGATTTCTTCAAGTGGAGGAAAATTAGAATTTTTGAATACATAACTGCAGTATGTATTTTTGTCTACATAATCTGTAACAATCATTATCCAGCCTCCTGCAAGCGACTCACATGCATGTAATTTAGGAGCATACCCCATATTTGCACATAAAAGATGTGCCTCCTTTGAATATCTTTTGACAAATTTAACATGTATATCTCTATTTGTTGTAGTTGTAGCTAAAAAGACTAGTTTTCTCTCAAGTTGAGACTTGTAATTAAATTCAACTCTAGTGTCATCATTTCCATAATAGAATTTGTATGGGTACTTAGGATTACAAATGATTTGGTTTATACTATATTGCAACTCATTCTCATAGTAAGACTTTAAACAATGTACTGCTTTTTTAAAAGCACCAAATGTCCTTGCAGCAGCCAATTCGATATCTTTTTCATATGGATTGTAAGAAAGTGGTATAGGTAATGTCAATTGGTCCATATGAACTTCCTTTGGGATTGCTGAACCAGCAAAACAAAACATAGGACCTGGGAAAATAAATTTGTAAGAGTTTATTATGAAATATTTCTTCATGAATAATATCAAATAACCTACCTGCAAAGATAATATGAATGCATGGAAAAACAACACCTGTGTATTTTTTAGCATTATCAAGGACCATGTTTATGTAATACATTGAAGATTGAAAGAACCCTTCTCCACCAGAGCCAAATTCCACTTTTGCCTCAATATTCGCATAGTAGTGGTCGCCTGTAACTAAAGAACCATCTGTCACATAACCTTTGCTGCCTATTTTACAAGCCACGAAGGTTAGGTCACAGTATTTTGTAATTAAAGTTCTAAAATCCTCCGCACATAAATTTTCATTATCATAAAAGGAAGACATTCTTTTACTTAAAGTTATAACAAATTTAATATCATCTGAGGTGGGAATGAGATTTTTGCAATCACTGACAAATTGGCCAAATGCTGGATGAAGGAGTGTGACCGGTATTGAAGAAGCTCCTGTAGGGCGATGGCATAATATTGGATAGTTGTGTTTTTGTTGAAATTCTTTAAATTTATTAAAGTCTGCATAACTTGAGGGACACAATTGATTTGAAAATGCATTTGTGAGAAATGATCTTTTTTGTTTTGGAAAATTCTCAACATTATCATACTTTATATCTTTTTCAGCCGCTTTAGTACAAAAGGAGTAGAAGAATAATTATCAAATATTTCTCAAATAGGAACCAGAATATTTATCAGTCTTCAATGTATAACTCAATATTTACATTCGAGATCTTTACTTGTACCCTTCTCAAGTCTTTTTAATTTTTTCTTTAGTGTCATCACCTCCAATTCTAATTTTTCTACTTTTCTTTTCCAACTCTAAAGATGATTGTTCGTGCAGAGAATAATTGTATATAAAAATTATTTTATGTTGAATTAGTGTTTACAATATTGAATACTAAAATAATAATTTATTGAAATAAATACTTCTTCGTCGTCGTTTTCTTTATCTTCATTTTCATTTACACTAATAAAAAAAAAGTTTATAATTAACTAGAGTGATGACGCGTGGCAATGATCGCAATAACCACCATTATTATGAAAAACACTTACCCAATCTTCGATTCTTTAATGTTGTTGCTTTCTGCTTTTTTTTTGTTGGTTTTTTTGTTCTGCTTTGGCATTTTAAGAAATTAATTAAATAGTTTTGAAACAAGATATTGATTGAAAAGTCAAAATCAAATTAATATTAATATTAATTAAATTTTGGGGTGGGGTGTTTTGATACAAAATTCTGATTGGCTAATTTGAATTTCACGCGTGTGGATTTCAAATTCACGCACAACATATACACACGTTTTTTTTTTTGGAAAAACAATTTATTTTTTACAAGATGAGGGAATGTGGTGGTTTGATATGGTTCTCCTAAAGAAGACAAGATGTTGTTTATTGATGGCGAGAGGTACACTATTTTTATTTTTGTGTATTTATTTTGTTTTTATTGTTTTATAAATGTATTGATATGTGCGTGTCTTTTATTTTATATAAATGTATTTTATTGAAATCAAAACCTGGATGGAACAGAGCTTGTCTGTCTTGGGTATTTATTATAGAGAATTTATATCAATAAATGAATGCTTGGTGTCATTTTACCTTTCATAATAAACATTAATATTTAATATTAACACTAATATTAAGATGTCAAAGCAACACAGCTATTATAGAAGAAACATTTCAATATGTAACATTGGATTATTGAAAATTTTACAGATGTCAAGGCACACATGCTACCTTGAATGCTTACAGTCATTCTCACATGTTCCTTGTGTACAAAAGGCTAAACTAACGTGATACCCCTATGATATGATGATGCAATTAAATCTTCAGGGGGGGGGTGCGTAGCCCTGGAATTTATTGAAGCTGCATCATTGCCAAGGATGCTTGTGAATTCTACTTAATCTTCTTACTCACAGTACTTAGCCAGAGAAGGCTGCAGATGTGTTGGCTGAAAAGTTGTCTGCAATGATCCTACCTCTAAGATAAAGATGGCTGGCTCTGCAACCAAGAACTTGCAATTCTGGAGGTTGGAGCATTTTGAAGAATCATAATTTTAGGTGTATGTAAACAAAAATCTGTAACCTGTTTCAAGCTCAGGGAGGAAATTTACAATTCAGGGAGGGATTGAGGACTCTGGAATTGCATGCATTTAGGCCTGAATGTTAAGAGGAGAGTTTTGTTTTGTATAAACTAATTATTTTTCTAAATTCTCTATTTCTTTTGATATTAACCAAATTTATAATTTTGGGTAGGGATATGGGCTTTTGTCCACTTCTATAGATTATATATTTGTCAACCAAATACCATCAAAATGGGATTTTTTGCACTTAATAATCTTTTTAGGAAGGAATAATAAGAAAAAAGTCATAAAACAGTTTTGATTTTGGTACAAATTAATCATTTTCATAATTCTCTGTTTTTTGATAAATTTTTAATTTGATTAAATATTTTTTAAATAGGATTAAGGCTGTTCAAACTTGAAGTTCTGTTTAACGTCAACCTTCCTCTCATTGTTTTCAGAAATTGAATTTAAACTAATGTTTTGATCATCAAACCCTTCCAAAAAATGAAAATTTACATGATTTTTTATTGGGGAATAAGCAAGGTAGATCAAAATGTTTAAATGTTAATTTAAATCATTATCACTTGTAGAATTTTCTTATTTATTTGCAAATTTTTACTCCCTTCATTTTTTTTAAAAAATGATGTTAAACAGATCTCTAAATTTGAATGGCCTAATTGAAATATACATTATATGTAGATTATTTATTTCATCCAAGAAATGTAGCTAGTAGGTGTGCACCAACAAAACAGCAACCCAGGTTGCAACCTCCTGAATTATATTATTATTATTTGCAGATGTCAACTTTATTCTAGTGGGGATAATATGAAGCAAATGTCACATGAATGCTGATCCTCAGTCAGCAATAAATGCTCATATGGTAACAAGTCAAGCCTGGTCTGAGTGGAAGATATGAGAAAATTTTGCCAACCTTACAAAAGCCTTTCAACATGTTCAGGTTAGCTTCACTCATGGAAAAAAATCCATGTGCTGAAAGTGCTGAATTGCACCACCCTGCATGTTTGTGATAGGAAATTTCTATTAAATCTGACCCCTGCAATCAATATCAGATTTATCATTCATTTTTGACCCTCCAGTCAAATCTGGTCTGAGGAAGAATAAAATTATGTGAATCCCAGAGATCTGAATAGACATACATTATTGTTTTGAAATCATGTTCCTTAAAAAAATTCATTTCTGCATGGTCCTAGTATTATTATTACATGGGTGATTCAATTGTTTGTCATGTCAATGACAACATCAAATGTATTGAATAAGCATCAAAATCATCATGGATGGAGACATTCACATACAAGGAAATGATTAAATAATAACAAAAAAGCTAAGTCATGTTTATTTTTATCTAACAAAGATATATAATTCAAAAAACAATTATTTTATTCCACTCTTGCAATGAATGGTATTATTTGTTTATTTAGCATTATTGATTGAATCAATCACACAAATGGTAGTCAATTTATTTAAAAGTTTTATTTGAAATGATATTATTTTAAATGTGTAAAAAAATTTTTAAGGATTTTTTTTAATTGATGTTTTTTTTAAAAGATATTTGTAAAAGGTTTTTTGATAGTCCAAAATCAATCATATTTATATACTTTAAAGTTTCTTTATTTCTTTTTTTGATAAAAAAATAAATTTAAACATTTGCTTATTTGCTTTTAGTAAATTCAAATAAGTTTTTTATTAGACCAAAAAAAATGATACACATTAATTTTTAAAATAAAAAAATATGTTTCACTGTTTTAGTGTAATTAACACAAAACAACAATTTTCTTCAATTGTTTTTTTAGAAATAACAATAATTCTCTTATTTATTTTTAGTATGGGTCAATAATAATTTCCATAATTTTATTTTATCCATTTTTAGTAATAATAACAATTTAATCTAGACATAATTATTTTTCATGGTCTTTTATATCAATTATTGGATATATGTTTGAAAATACTTCTGTCTGCCTACTTTGCTTCTCACCACAGGACCTATTTAAAATCTCTTCAATCTTAAAATAAATGAAAACCTACAAAGTGAACATAAAATTATATATATAGAGATAAGTGTATATGAAAAATAATAATAAGTATAATGGTTCTAATGAATATCAAAAAGCCATTGATTTTTTAGAAAAAGGATGTGATTGTGGTTGTTCTTCAAGAATTCCCAAAGAACAATTTGCAGAATTAAGGGAATCCTTTCAAGCTTTTTCCAAGTCTGAACAAGACATATTTTTAATGGCCCAACTTAAAGCAATGGATGGTGGACCAATAAGCACTAGTAGACGCCTTAAAAAGAAAACTAGATCTAATAAAAGAACTTTCTATCATTGAGATCACAATACACTTCTTTGTCAAGA